TCCAACCTCAATTGACTTTTGGTATTGGATCATGGAATATTCTAAATAAATATGGAAGAAAAATTAGCCAAAAATTTATTTATTATAAACCATTTACATATGGGAATTGCACCATTTTGAGAACGTACCCGTAACTATATATATATATATATATATAGTCTTTATTATTATTCAAGTGAGTTGATCAGGAGACATCTTCCAACAAAATGAAGACAGATACCGCTAAACGAAATGGTAGTTGATCAAATTTAAATGTAGCTTGAATATTTGGTGTTATATCTCTCGTCCAACGATAAGACATTTTACCAACAGAACTATATTAAGAAACGTTTGAGATATTTAGTACAACATTGAAGAAAACTATCTAGCAGTTGAAGAATAAATATTGCAAGAAATCGAAGGGGTGAAATACATATACATATATATATATACACACAAACATCTTCCTGTTACAAAAAGGCAACAGAAGAACAGAAGAACAGAAGACAAAAAATGGATCTGAAACTCAATTTTCAAAGAAAAGCGTCTCCACAGAAAAATAAAAACTGCGTGATCCAAAACCATCTTGATCACTTCAAATCACTTTTGAAGTTTTGGAGTGGGGGTGGAGGCAGACCTCAAAAGTTGGGAGACACAATGCCAGCATTTCTTTCTTTATCAACATGCGATGTGGGGCATGTAGGCATCCATTAACCAATATTATTTATTTGAGAATAAAACCCTTGTTTTCTTTTCTTCCTCCTAAAAGCAAAAGAAAAGTTGTTTGTCCCTCTTCTCGATCGGATTTTCTCCGTTGGGGGTTTTTATGGCAAGGTTTTAATGATGCCACTTTGTAGAGAAGCCAGGAACTCTGGTTGTATTGACGTCGCTTCTTTACGAATGAAAGTTCTCATTTTGATAATATAAAAAAAGTTGTTTGTCTCTCATGTCTTTCTAATTTTATTTATTTTAATGAGGGGTTGCCAGTTTCTATCACAAATAAATTATATGTTTCCTTGTGGCTCATATCAGAAGACAAAATAGGTACTAAAAGTATATGAATATATATCCCTTTCTCCAATAGCTTGCCGTGAAAACTCCACAAGCCACTGATTGAAGGGGAGACGATTTTGCTGCAAAAGTTAAAGGATTCAAAACAATTAGATTTAGTATAATCCGTTTCCTTTCACAATCAAGCATGAAAAAGGAAGTTGAATGCCGAATCTTGGGCACTAAAAAAAGTTGTGTCGTTTTCATTCAATCATTTTGTTTATTCTTTTTTTATTCCAAGGCTAGCAAAAAGCTAGTAATTTGGTCTTTGATTATATTATTACCTTATAAGTATAAGCTCCTTCTTGTGTAAATCTTTTATATATAAATAGGTCATGCTTGTGCTTATCCAGTCGACACGCATGGAGGAAGTTAGAGCTTTATTCTTAGCTTATACAATATGAGCATGAGGTGAGAGCTAGGTACTAGGGATAGCTAGAGTTTTTCCTTCTTTCTACATCTTTCCAACTTCCCTAGCTAATAAAAACTACTTTTCATCATCTTTGAATATAAAATTTGCAAACGTGGATTAAGTTAGTTAACTAAAGTAGTGTGCTCACCTATTTGCACTCGAGTTCGATTCTCTTTTTCATACATTATAATAGTTACTAGTGTACAATTTCGTTTTGATCAACGAAAAAGAAACCCTAACAACATCCTGTCTCGGAACAAAGCATTATTCAATTTTGCACTATAAAATGACACCTTAAGTGCTTGTTTGACATTTGCTTATTTGGGGTGATAAGTGATTTTAAAAAAAAATCGGGAAGCCCAACCCATTTGGTAAACTATGAAAAAATCACTTATCGTTAAAAATTGTTGTGAGAGAAAGCTATAAGAGAAAGCAGCTAATGAGGTGCTTTCATTTTCTGATTATGCATGAATTAGTTTCAAAGAGGCGCTGGATTTGATGATTACATATGAATTATTTTTTGATAATGCGGGAATCAGTACCAACAACACTTTTAACAAAAAGTTTACCAAACGCCAAACTGTTTTATTTCACAGTTGATTTCTCTCATAGCAAATCTGATAGAGATTATTTTCACAGCACAACAATGCCAAATTGACCATAAGTATTGAAATTTTTACGATTAAATTCTCAAGTTTAGGCAACAAGAGAGTCTTGAACAATAATAATGAGTTTGGAATCACCTCTAATTAATTACCTTGATCAGTTGCATCAATCAAGTGAGTTAAAAAGGCTTAATTTTTGGTAAAGTTAGCAGCATTGTGAAAGGTCCCGACTCTATTAAGATATCATATATAAAATATCCAACTCTTGAATCCCAACGGATTCTTTTTTACATGATTTTGCCCCACAACTCAGATCACCATTCTTAATCAGACCCATGGCCACAAACAAAAGTAAAACAAACACACAATCAGTCATAGGAAAGGAGCATGAAAAAGGAACAAACACAAAATATTCTAGAGAGAGATTTTGAACTTATCCTTAAAAAAAGCTAAACATTATTATAGCATGCATGTGGGAGTTTGTATCATGGCGCACCTTAACTAATACACTTATGTACATACATATATATACAAGATGTTGACGTGGCTGACAACACAATCTAACAGCGACCACATAAATTATGAGCCCTCGCCCCTCGGAGTCGTTTCATGGAAGAAGAAGAATAAGAAGAAGTGGACTTTTGCCAGGAAGCCAAGCCCATGCAAATGCAGGGAAAGCAATGGCCGTGCCCGATAGAAATCCGACACGTCAAGCCAAACCCGCGTGTTGCACGGATCCGTAGTCGAAAAGTCAAATGGGCAGCACCAAATACGTATATATAAACTGTACAAGTAGAGTATGTGCTACGTATTTGTACGGTTGTATAACGTGTTGAGGGAAAAAGGGATATCCCTAACCTCCATCACAAGTATATCCTGTCATGTCAATTGCCCCGCCCACCCCACATGGCCACGTGAACTTTTTCTTTGAGCAAAGTGAGCGACCGGCGGGGAAGAAAAGTAGGTGGATCCTACCTTTCATATTGTGGGTGGGACCTGTGGAAGTGGATCCCACAACTGTCGGTTTTGCAAATTGCATACATGATTGCATCTTCATGAAGGTGCATTGCTCATGATGCTGATGCTCCTCCCTCCTCCCTCCTCCCTCCCCCCTCCTTTCTATATGTGGCTTTGCTTTGGCCTTTTGCTTCCACGTCCATTTTCTTGCTCACTCTAGAATGTTTGTCTTTTGAGCAAAGAAAGCCACACCATGTTCTTTCTATCTACTTTCCCAGTATTTTTGTGGGGTTGGGAGGGTTAGGTGTCCAAATTAGGCTTGCTTTCGATATGATTGTGAAGCGCATCTGAGTGATTATCAACTGTTGATGTATAAAATGTACACCGACAGCTGACAATAATATATTATATATGTATGAAGCCAGAAATTCAAAAAGGACGGAAATTGAATCTTGAGGTGGGTTGTTGAATTTGAGGCTTAAGTAATCAATCACACGCATACGGGGTAAATAACTATCGTTAAGGTTTCGCTAAATCGATTCTAGGGGCGTCGATGACAAAACAAGTATGAACATAAAAAGATAAGAAGATCTTATGGAATTACTTAATCAACTCAAATTGATAATATAGTATCTTTTACATTTGCACTTTGCATAACTCATTTTGCATGTGATCAATTCCATTCATTAGAAAATTCCAGGTAAAGCGTGTACTTGTCAAACGCGTTTGAATCTAGAAAACAGAAAATAGAAGCAAAATTTGCAAACTACAGCCCTGACCCTGAGGCCCTTTGTGAGAGCTGTTTTGAAGCTACTTGTATTTCTATCCCCAAAAAGCCCACAAAATTGATGGATTTGCTGTAGTCCAACATAGCGAGCCCACTTCTCAATTGACCAATCAGAAGGATTTCGATTCCCCCTCCATGGACCATGCTTCATCCACGTATAAAAAACCCAGGCCATGCAGTAATGTCATGATGGAATATGGGCCCCACCCATGATCAGTGATCACAAAATTTGGTTTAGAGCAATTTCTATGCACGCACTCACCAAACACAATTTTTTTAAATTTATTATTTCAAGAGTTTACATTTTTCACTTCTCTCATTTGTTTAATTTGAGAGCAACTCAAATATGGGAAAAAAAAAAGAGGTTATATTTTATCGTATTTTTGGAATATTGAGTAAGAATGACATCCATATGGGATGAGGTCAGCTTTGTCGTTTTCATATTTATTCTCCTTGACCTTGGTCCCAAGACTTGAAAGCCGCAACATGAATTCGGAACACTAGTGTTAATGAAGGATATTCTTTCCAATCCAATCTTACCTACTAATCTATCCAAAACATAACTTAAAATGCAAAGGACCCGTTAGTATATTGGTTTGGAACAAAGGTCATGGATTCGAGTCCTAACATCCTTATAGTATGTGTGAGTTTAGTATATTATCGCCCCATCTCAATAGAAATAGCCTTTGAAAACCCGTAACTTTTATTTATTTAATTTTAGTTTACATTCTAAGATGATATAAGCCTACTGAAGTCTTAAAGTCTGGCCCCCAATACATTACAGAAAGAAAGAAGTCCAGCCCAAAGTTCATTAGGTTGGGCCAAAGCCCTACATCTCGGGGCCTCGGTCTAAGTCGACCCATGAGTAAAGAAACGTGGCAAGTTTTAATTGGCCCAGTTATTCCTCGGGCCATACCGTAGAAAAGTAGTGGAACCCATCACTCTGGCCGACGCAACAAGACGTCAGCAACCCCACCACCATAAAGTATTACAATAATCCCCTGCAACCATCAGCAGCAAAGCTGCCTCTAACTCCTCCTCCCATTGGTCCCGTCGCACCCCTCACGCAATCATACACGGACACGCATCCGTAAAAGCGAGGGAAGCATGGCAATTACGTAATTCCAGCAAGCACAAGGGTCAAAGACACCCGCGAAATTATCCGAATTTCATTAGAGAGTTTGGATTGCGGTGTGTCATTTCTCATATGCTTTGTGTCAACGGACGCCAAATGAAATTCAAATGCAGCCGAATTTCTAGTTGAAGAGAGAGAGAGAGAGAGCTTGGTGTTTTGCTTTCGATGGTTTGTGTGTGAGTGTGTGAGTGTCTGAAATAATAAAATATTTTTCATGTCCTGCTGCCACTGGTCCTGCCTCCAATCATTTGACTGTGTTTTTCATTTTTCATATTTTTTTCTTTTAATTTTTTCAATTTTGGGTTTCTCTTACAATTTTCATACATTTTCTCTCTGGTTTCTCGGCGACAGAGAAGGAAGTAGAGGAGTAGAAGAAACAAATATCTCTGCTTCTACGAAACTCTCAAACGCATGCGCTCTCTCTACCCTTTCTTTCTTTTTCTCGTCAATTCCTTGATCATGACAAACAATTCTGAACTCAGGCTGCCACATAATCCATCTTCAATGGACTCTCTTTAATTGCTGCTTTTGTTTGTACTCTCTCTATAAGGTAACTCTGTCTCTCTTCTCTATTTTCTCTACTCTTTTCCCCCTCTCGACAACAACAGTTCTGGATTGTTTGAGGTAATTCAAATTTGAGATTTTTTTGTTGAGTTTTTTCCCCTATGATTTTTGTTTGAAAATTTTGGATTTTTGCATGTGATTGGTTGATATTGCATGTGGGTTTTTCTATTTCTGTGAGATTAATTTTACTATTGAGGGAAAGTTGAATAATTTGCAGCTAATTTGGGTTCTGATGTAGGTAGGTGTACAGGGGTATTTCAACATTTAAGTCCTTTTGTTGAATTAGATGCTAAATTTGAGTTGAGAACTTTTTTTGCTTGTTACCCAGTTGGAGTTTTGAGCTACTGGGTTGTTTCTGTTGTGCTTTCTTCATCTCAATTCCAAGTCGATTGTGTTTGACTTATTATATGGGCTTAGCATGATTTGTATCAGCCCAAACTTGGTTTTGGGGCAATCTGTCAACCTGGTTTTAGCTTTACACTATCAATTAGAAAACTTGTGTGGGTTTCGGTAGGTCCTTCTGTTATTGGTATGCAAAACTGCAGTTAGAACAGTCCGTCCCATCATTGGTAATTCTGGGGGGTATTTTATTATTGTGCTAACGGATACTTTTCTCCCTTGATTATATTCTTCTATGCAAGCATCTAAATTTGTGTGTGCTTTTTGCTAGGAAAAAAAAAAGAATCATAAAATTGTGTGTACTTAAAAGATCAAATGTACCTCTGCAGGTTTTGATACTTCCGGCATATATATGTACATATTCTGATGCTCATTTTTCCAATCATTGATGGTTTTTCTTGGTTGAAAAATGAAGACAGCAATTATTGATGCTTTCCCATTTATGTACGTTCTGAGTGATACTGACTTGATTCCTTGGCTGACTCAACAAATAGGGAAATATTGTGGAGCTCAGCCATGGTCTTTTGCTCTTGTATTTGTGAATCAGTTATAAATTATGTTATAAAATTTATGAAAGATATAAATTAATTATTCCTTTTCTTTTCATTTCTTTGCACCATAAGGGCTTCTGTATGTATTGTTTATCCATTACATTTGTATCAGCATGTGATATATCTGTATTTACATATGCATGTTTTCTGAACTAGCAGAAATATAAATTTGAGAGTTTTCTGATAGTTGAACTTCCTATTTTTACTGCCCTTGTGTTTGCAGAAAGTGATTCAATGGAGAAACATTTACAGGATACTATGTTGGGTCGTTTTGAAGGTTCCTTCTCTTTCCTTTAACTGATGGAAGCTCGGCACAGGCTCATAGCCACGTGCATATAGATACATATTATTTCCTTATGTATGCATGATCTTTCTCGTGATCTGTCATTTGTAACTGTTTTTGTAGGAGCCTTTAAGATTCCATCAGTTAATAATCCTAGAAAATTGGAAAGTAATGCATGGGGGATTCTTCGTCCACCTGAGGCATATCATGCATCAAGTGATACTAGCTTGTTTTCGAGCTCATTGCCCGTACTTCCACATGAAAAGTGTATGTGTGAGTTCTTTTTTCAATGTAAAATTTTTCCCTATATGTAGAATGGTTGTTGAGAGTTGAGACTCGATTTACTCAATATGCAGTGAACTTCTCTGACTTGGAGCATTTGGGTCAGTCTGTTGATGATAGCTTGCCTAGTTTAAACAATGTTGAGCAAGAAAATGAGATTAAGGATCCGCTTGAAAAGGTTGAATCCAACGCATTTGGGATCATGCTTCCTGATGATGAAGATGATCTCTTAGCAGGCATAACAGATGATTTTGATCTAAGTCGATTGCCTAATCAGCTGGAGGATGTGGAAGAATATGACCTCTTTGGCAGTGGAGGCGGAATGGAATTGGATTTTGAATCTCAAGATGGCCTTGGCATTGGCATGTCAAAACTAAGCATATCTGATGGGGTTGTTCCAAATGGGATTGGTCATTATGCTCTTCCAAATGGTGTGGGAGCTGTGGCTGGGGAACACCCATATGGAGAGCATCCATCAAGGACCTTGTTCGTTAGAAATATCAATAGTAACGTGGAGGACTCTGAATTGAGAACTCTATTTGAGGTATTGCCAATGGTTATTTCATTATAAGTGTCAATTTTACTTGGCCTCTGTGCCTTGCTTATTTTATTTGTTCTCCTGGTTATGTTTTGGTTTAATGTTCACTTGTTTTATTCGACCAAAAATAAAATGTTCACTTGTTTTCTTTTGGGTGGGTGAATTGCGGGTTGCTTTGGAGTACTTGGTGAGTTATTAAATCCGAGGCCATGGTGATTTTCATGGTGTTTTTAGGTAGTAGGATTTAGGAGGGATTCTTGCTTTTCAGACAAATGAAGAAAAATAATAATAAAACTCTAGGTGAGACTTTTCTATGAAATGGAACAAAATGAATTCTAGCTTCCTGATTCAATGGAATTGTCTCTTGTCCCTTTAAAATCCCTTATTAGAAACTTAAGACTATTCAAGTTCATGAAGGTCCTTATTGCAAAGAAAATCAAGCAATCAGCTTTTGATATCATGGAGAGGGCCTTCCCTTTAGTAGTTTCATCCATGCAAGTAAATGTTCTGGCAGAACTTGTTATGTAACTCATTTCCCTTGCCCTTTGGAGTTCCAATCATGCTCTCTTTGTTGAGTTGGTGTTGTTATAAATTTGTTTATTGTTGCAACTTGCATTGGCTGACTCACTGAATGACACAGGTAGGTTTCAGGGTTAGTATTCTAAGAACTTACCTGTTATAGTTAGAGACCACTTTTGGTGATAAATTTGTTGTACTGTACTTCCAGTGTTCATTACAGATAACTCAAGAGCCACTGGCATTGTTCTTGTCAGTGGGAATTTCTTTGCAACACTGTCTTTTGGTAGATAATGTATTTGGTGCACTGGTTTCTTTGCCCTTGCAATGATTCTCTCTCTCTCTCTCTCTCTCTCTCTCAAACAGAAAGTTTGTAATTGGTATCGGCAGTGTTTTTTGAGTTTATATATATATATATATTGGTGTGTATGTGCAACTTTTCGTCTGCATTTGGATACTCTTGATTCTTATTGATTTATGGACCTATCCCTTTTTTCCTTAGCAATATGGGGATATCAGAACTTTATACACTGCATGCAAGCATAGGGGCTTTGTGATGATATCTTACTATGATATCCGAGCTGCTCGCACTGCAATGCGCGCATTACAGAACAAGCCCTTGAGACGAAGGAAACTTGACATTCATTTTTCAATTCCTAAGGTTTGAATAGATGTTATCCATAATAGTTTGGTATTGTACTAGTTATTCATTCAACATCTTCATAATGCATCCTGTTCTCTGCTGAAATCCAGGATAACCCGTCAGAAAAGGATATCAACCAAGGAACTCTTGTGGTGTTCAATTTGGATGCATCAGTGTCAAATGATGACCTTAGACAGATATTTGGGGCTTATGGAGAAGTCAAAGAGGTAAATTTTAGTGCATAAATGTTGTATGTCGTTTTGTTAGCATTCTTGTTTTGTATGTGCAGTTGTGCACCTTTTTATTATCTTGATTGGTTGTCTGATTTTTAACATTCCATGAGTACAAAATGCAGATTCGGGAAACACCACACAAGAGACACCATAAATTCATAGAGTTTTATGATGTTAGAGCTGCAGAGGCAGCTTTACGGGCATTAAATAGGAGTGACATAGCTGGGAAACGCATAAAGCTCGAACCTAGCCGCCCTGGTGGCGCACGTAGAACGTAAGTATCAATTTACTTTGGGTTCTGCAACAATTTGCAATATGAGTTTAGACATTTTGTATTGCCCTGAATTTCATCATCTATTAATTTCATGAGGGTGACAAATAGTGAGGTGAAAGGTTTCCTTGGATCTTGTAAGTTTAATGTTGCCTATTTGACTAATGGTGCTTTCATTTGTTGATTTTTTCCCTTTAAATGTCTCACACAAAAATCAAATTTCCAAATCCTCCATTCAGTGCAATGTCTTCAAACACTGGCAATTACTGTAAGCAAAAATTTAGGTTTGCATCAAATAAAAATATTTTACTGAAGTTCAACGTTAAGTGTTCATGAGAAATATAGTCAAGATTGTCAGATTCCTGGGCATAATCTGAAAAATATTTTTTTACAGTCTTGGCTGCTTAGTTGACTTCAAAAAATAATTATCCACAGAAAATAAATGTGTTTCAAGAGGTAACTTCCATCCTGTGAAGTGGAGTCTTAGATTAAATCTCTGATTCAAATTTAATGGTTACACTCTTGATTTGGGCTGTGCTTCCTTTGACCCGTTGGAATCTTATCCGAGGATGTTCTTTTGGAGCCTCCTTTGCTTACCTATTAAAAAATCAATACACAGATCCTGTGCCATGTATAGAATTTTTAGATGCTGCCCCCCTATTTTATGGAAAGTTTGCAACACATATTTTCATGAATTGTCAAGCTTCTTCTTCCTTTGAAACTTACTATCCTTTATATCTTTTGACTCTGTTTGTATTATATAACCTTTCTTGAATCCCACTACTACAGAAATACTGTTGATTTTTTATTAAATCATTAAGCTGGGCAAGGAATTAATTCATCGCACTTTTTGTTTTGGTTTAGCTTGATGCAACAACTCACTCAAGAGCTTGAACAAGATGAAACTCGGAGTTTCCGACATCAAGTGGGTTCACCATTGACCAACTCTCCTCCAGGTAGATCTCTCACCAATGACCAATGTGCTTGTTTTCACCAAGTGCTGGATTGGCACTTATTGGGAATGCATGGCCTGCTGAAGCTAAACAATTGATTTGTTACCGTAATAGGTACCTGGGCACACATCGGAAGCCCCATTGAGCATAACCAGCCAGCTTTCAGTAAGTCCCCAGGTTTGGGAAGCCTCAGTCCAGACAGCAACCATTTGCCTGGGTTAGCTTCAATTCTCCCAGCTCATGTGTCTAACTCTCCAAAGATTGCGCCTATTGGTAAAGATCAAGGAAGGTTAAACCATGTAAATCAAATATATAGCAACTCTACATCAACACAAGGAGCAGGGTATCAGCATTCCCATTCCTATCCTGAGCAGAAATTAAGTGCAAGTCCAGGTCCCATCTCATTTGGTGAGTCAAATTCAAATTCAGCAGGGATTGGAACATTGTCAGGTCCTCAGTTTCTCTGGGGAAGTCCAACTCCTTATGCTGAGCATAATTCTTCTGCCTGGCCAACCTCATCTGTGGGAAATCCATTTTCATCCGGTGGACAGGGACAAGGTTTTTCATTGAGTAGCCGGCATGGTTCTTTCCTGAGTTCACATAGCCAACATGTGGGATCTGCTCCATCTGGTGTTCCTTTGGATAGACATTTTGGCTTTTTTCCAGAGTCACCAGAAACATCCTTCATGAATCCAGTGTTTGGGGGCATGGCTTTAAGTCGCAACAGTGGGAATTACATGATGAACATGGGCGGTCGTGCAACATTGAGTGCTGGTGTGGGTCTTCCAGGAAACATTACTGAAAATAGCTCGCCTAGTTTCAGAATGATGTCAATGCCAAAGCATGGCCCTGTCTACCTTGGGAATGGCTCATATACTGGACCAGCAGCAACCATCAATGAAATGTTGGCTGATCGTAGTAGAAGTCGGCGAATTGAGAATACTGGGAATCAAATAGATAGCAAAAAACAATATCAACTTGATTTGGATAAAATTATCAGTGGGGAAGATATTAGGACTACTTTAATGATAAAAAACATCCCGAACAAGTAAGAAAAAAAGTTGTTATCATCCTAGGAAGTATATGCTTGCAACTGTTATCATTTTGAATACCTTTATCATTTTGAATACCTTTATCATTTTGCTCGTCTTTCTCATATTAGGTACACTTCAAAAATGCTGCTGGCTGCTATTGATGAAAATCACTGTGGTACATATGATTTTCTCTACCTGCCAATCGACTTTAAGGTGATTCTTTGCACTACTATTTGATGTGAGTTCTCTATAATTCCTCAAGTTTATCTAATGCTAATCAGCACCCTGCTCTCTTTGCAGAATAAGTGCAATGTGGGTTATGCCTTCATCAATATGGTGTCTCCTTCCCATATTATAGCCTTTTATGAGGTTAATTTTGGGCCATTTTATCCCTTTGTTTGTTGTTGGTTAAATTGTATTTTGGGTGCTTTATTCTCTAGCTTGAACTGAAGAACTTTTTCTTGATATTTGATTGGCAATTTGAGAATGTTCAAATTCATCAGTCAGAGTGAAAACTAATGAGAATGCATTTAATGTTTACGGGAGTACTCAAACCATTAAATTGGTGCAGGCATTTAATGGGAAGAAATGGGAGAAGTTCAACAGTGAAAAAGTTGCTTCATTGGCATATGCACGAATCCAGGGCAAAGCTGCCCTTGTGACTCATTTTCAGAATTCAAGCCTAATGAATGAGGACAAGCGTTGTCGGCCCATTCTGTTCCACTCAGAGGGCCAAGAAACTAGTGATCAGGTTATATGTCTTGTTTTGTTATAACGATGTTGCCCTCTCTGCTCCAGTTATCAAAATTTGATCTCAAACACAATCACCCTATATTGTTTTCTGATATATTCATATGTTTATGTTTGTGGATCCTCCAGGAAACTTTCCTTTCCAGAAACTTAAACATATGTATCCGGCAGCCGGATGGCTCTTACTTGGGTGACTCATTGGACAGCCCAAAGGGGGATCTGGATGAGAAGCCAGAGAACAGTTAACAATGTATTGGTAATCTTACATGCCTGAGGGGGACAGGGCTGCTAACTTCTGCAAAGTCAAGTGTACAGAGTAGAGAGAGAAGTCGAGGTATGGGGCATATAATAACTAAATTATGGCTAGTGTCTGCTTTTGAGTACTGGATAACTCTGATATTTACTGAGAAAGTATGGAAGGGAAAGCGGGCAGAGAGCATTTTGTTAATTTGTAGAGTGCAAATTGTTATTCAACCAAGGGATTAGAATAAGGTGAAGCATATAGCTGAATTGTGAAGTCTCTCTGCAGCCATATGCATTACTCAACGGTTTGTGCAGAATTTCTCCTTTTGGTTTTTTCCTTTTGGTGTTTTTGTAATGTCCTGGGTCTTTAAAATCCCATTTGCAAATATGATTTTACGTGTTCATATGGCTAAAATGCCCTGTTGGGTAATTGGGCTTCAGGGCTGTTTAAGGAAGAAAAAAAAAAGAAGCAAGGTTGTATAGAAGGGAGACAAACAGAATCGTCATGTTCATAGTGGGTCGGTGTTGTCATATACCCAAAAACTTTGTACTGAATTAAATAAATATATGGATGTACAGATGTTTTCTCTCTCTCTCTCTCTCTCTCTCTCTCTCTCTCATGTTGCGCACACAAAATTTTAATCCCTCAATGTCATTTGTTTGAAAGTTCATTGTTGGATATGCCTGCTGGGATTTTCAAAGAGAATGTTGGTCAAGGTAGATGTAAAAGAGGTTGAACAGGCACAAACATGGCACTGAGCACGATTCATTTCAATTGGACAATGCATGTTTGTGTCACGCGAGGCACGAGTACGGGGCATGCTGGACGCAATGTTCAACCCAAATATATTGTTTAAAAAACAAAAAATATATTAGAAGAGCAAGCCAGGAAAGGGTATAATGATTTTGCTAAGATTAGTTGGCCATGTGGGTGTTTTCAGACCGTTGACAGAATGCGGACTCCACATGTATTGACAGTCAGAAATCAACCATGTAGGCGACTTACCGGAGCACAACAATTAAAGCAAGTTGCGACCAGCCAGATTGAGTAACATCTTCAGTTTGGTTGTGAAGAAAGTTTAGTTGTTCCCTTGCGTCTGGCTTGTAAAGTAGGTAACAGATTACGAACAAAGCAAAGCTGTTGATGAGCAGCTCAGGCCATGCATAACACATGGGAGGCACAAACTCAACTACATTATTGTGTTTGTGAACGCATTATAAAGCTGAGAGTTACAATAGGGCAAGTTCTAACGTTAAATGCGGAATTCTAGAAGCAATCCGAATTTCAGTCATGTGTCATGACTCATAAGTAACATAAAATGTGAAATCACCTACTTATATCAGAACTTGCCGGCAGAATAATGATGTCATAAGTATTGCAAATTGTCTAACTGTCTCTTTTGGTGTATGCGTTCAAATCTGTAGAGCATCAGCAATGGAACCTGCAAGACTTAACACCTCAAAGGGAGCTTTATTTCCCACGGCTTTGACAGTAAGCGGGCAGGAATCCGTGATCCAAAAGTAGGCGAATGCCTTCTCCGAGCCTTCTGAAAATAAATCAACTGGCAATAAGGATCACAGAAATTACAATTACAAAGACGACATGTATACAATAGCATGCAAGTACTTACCATCCTTGTGAGTGAACCGCTCCCATGAGTGTTTAGGAAATACACCATGGGTGACATAAGCGCTAACCTTGGCTGCACCATGAGCAGCCAAAACTTTCTGCCAGAATAAAAGACACAACGGGAATGATTATGGAATATTTCAAGTTCCAAAAGCATGGCATAAATGTTTGAAATGCTTTTATGTTTCTGATGTACACATACAAATTACAGATACAAAGGCTTCATTGATAAACATTAATAGTTACAACGAAACTTCCTAGCATGGACAAGAGGTCCACAATCTAGGCCAAGCTTTAAAAAGCTAGTTCTATGATATTCAGAATACAAACTACGGCCAAGACCTGTAGTGATACCATGAAGATTTGCAATCTTGAAAGAACTTAAACATGTCAAAATTCAGAACCAACAGGTTCATGAGTATATAAAGAGTAGGGAAGAAAGGTGTTGGTAAGTAGGGGTCACCCATTGGAAATATACCTGGCACTCAATCAAGGTGCCGCCAGATTGCACCAAGTCATCAACAATGACTACATGATAACCAGCAGGATTTCCCTCCTTGATCCGAACTATCCTCTTGTCACCTTCACGAACCTTATTACACACCACCTGCCATTAAAAAACATCCAATTCATAAAGGTGAGATTTAAAATGATAATAGAAATAATTCTCACTTTAAGCAAAAGTTCAAACCAACCATTGGAAAGTGATCCAACTGCTTGTGGAATCGCTTCCATGCTCCATCATCGGGAAATGCAACAACTATCTAAGAGGTGACTTTAATTAGAATGGAAATCATAAATACAGAGAATAGAGCCACTTGGCAAGCATTTACAGACAACGCATAAAAACCGAAAAAACGATGATAACGATTCATTATGAGACACATGGAAGATAGTGCAGCATACTCACCTTATCAGAGTCGGGAAGCTGGTGGAGACGCTGCTTCAAGAGTGGAATTCCAGTCTCAAACAAAGGCAAAACATGGTCCCCAAAATAAAATCTTTCCTGCAAAAAAGAAAGGAAGTACAGAACACAAATATTCAGTCAATAAGGTAATGACAATCAACAATATACAATCCCAACCCATGTGAAATCATAAAAATGGAGAAAATGAGAATTGCAAACAGAGGCCAAACACTGGTGAGCTAAAGAAAGAAGAGAAAAGAGCAAATTATCATAGAAATAGGGGTGTGGTAATAAGTTGCAGACAAATGTTGACCTTTAAAAGTTATTAGGTTGCAGATGTATATGATTGTTTTTTTTAGGGAGTATATAATTGTTATTATATGAATTTCTGTTCATCACTTACAAATGAAAATTTTGTTTATGATGCTTAGAGTGGAGTTAAGAAACAAATTTCAGAGAATTAGAACTGCAGGGGCATGAGGTGTTTGGATGATCGACTGCATCCTATTATTACACTACTGCACTACACCTTAATGAAAAGGAGACTAGATGGAATGGAACGTATGAATAAATAACTGTAACTGGAGTAACTCCAATACAAAGTTTTCAGCAACATCATGTACAAATTACTTGATAGAAAAATTTATATCAGAAAATCTTAGCCAGTTTAATTACTAAAAAGCTCGTCCATGAGAATAAGAGAAGAACAAAAAAACTAGGATATGCAGACAAACCTGTAAAGCATGTATGTCATAGATGAGTACACTGTTTGGGCCACCTTTTGATATGGGAATATTGGACAACATTCTTGCCATGGTAAATGCAGTTGCTACATCCCCTTCTTCTTCCATTCGTTCAAAGGAACCAGTTGGAAAGAAAGGCAATACTAATGTGAACGATGCAACAAACAGTCGGGGGAGTGCATATATTACAGAAAGCTGTTCAAAGATAACTCCTTGGGAGCTAAATGATGCAAGAAAGGCAACATGTTGGCCTCGAAGGTCTTGTGCGTTGTTTATAAAAATGTTTGGAAATCCATCATCAAAAGTCCTGTATATATACGATCCAATCAGTACTCCCACTTATCTTACACATCCTGTACTAAATATGCTAGTCTCAACTTTCCTTTACCACTGCCCCCATCTAGGCATCTATGACAAGGGATTCAATTGGAAAAATTATAAGTAAAATACAGTGGGATAGTCAAATTTTTGATAACTAAAAGGCATCCCTCATATAAACCTTTCTCAATTACACTTCTTTGGTCTGAAAGATTCTTTCTTTTTTACTTAGCATTGACTAATCTATTAATTCAGCATTCAAGTTCTCCACTTTTCCAAACTCTTGTATGCACAGCTTTACAGAAGATCGCAAGTTTCGCTCTTTTGGTTTTGTATTCTGTTAATATTCATCGTATCACAACCTTCAGAAATAACAGATGAAAAGAAAAGTGCCCATTTTTTCTTTTGAAAAAGTGAGCTGAAAAAGAAGAACCCATCTCAAATTCATGACTAGGAAACAAAAAAAAGCAGAATTAATAAAATGGGTAGGAAAGCAGACTATCAAGCGGAACAAATAAAGGAGCACAGAGCATGACAAAACAAGTTTGAGGAGAGAGAGAGAGAGAGAGAGAACCTCCATTTGATGGTCTGGAGGGTTATGTGGTCAGACTGAGAAGCGACCTGTCGAGCTAGGTCTTCGCATTCAGCGCAGTAGAATAGGAACACTTGCTTCTTCTGTGAGTTTTCCATGGCCATCTATCTTCTAAGAGGCACAGAGCCCACAAGCACACACAGACAGACAAGAGAGGGTTTTAGGGAGAGAGAGTGAGAGTTATAACTTGTAATGACATGTTTGGCTGCCAAACTATAAAAAGAGTCAGCTAGTAAGAGTAGCCAAACATGTCATTACAAGTTAAATCCAAACATGTCATTACAATGGTCTGGAGGGTTTTAGGGCTTAATTGACTATTTTTCTTATACGAAATTGTGTTATCTAGTTTTGATCTAAACCAAATACGTCGTGTTCCACATCCAGAAAACTCCACGCTCAGTTATGTTTTAATATTTTAATTTTGATCAGAATGGATTAATTTGTCAATAGCAATTTTTTGATTCTTTTTTAGGACCTTTCATATTGAGAGGAGCAATAATATACTAAACTTACACACACACTACAGAGATGCTAGGATTCAAACACAGGACCTTTCCTACAATAGCAAATGCTCCAAAACACTGTACTAATGGGTCCTTTGCAGATTAAATTTTAAATAGTAGTTGACATGCCATACATTAGAATATCTATAAAAATAGAGAAAGGTAATAGACTTGTAGATCAAGTGTTTAAGAGCATTTACTCCGTCATCCGAAGTCTTAGTTTGATATCCCCTTCCCTAGTATTGTTTGTATTGAAAAAAAAGAGAAAGTACATGTCAAAGCCAAACATGGGATAGGACATTGGCATCCTCTTTCCAATATTATATATTTCATGTGGGCAGTTGGTCAATTCTTGTCATGGATGTGCCAGATGCTCGAGACTCAAATTCCCAATATCGACAGAGAGTAGATGGTAATTAAGAGGGTTGACTATCCAATCGTACTGTGCTGGCACGTGTGAGATCATTTCTGTACGTTGAGCTACATTTACGCACAACACTCAGATGCAGGTGCAGAGTATTTTATATACGCGTGTAGAGAGAATTGATTCCTAACCACATCCATGCCCTTCATTTATTCAGTGAGAAAACTGAAGGTGCTTGGAGCAGCATAGTCAAACTTTGGTTCATATCCTCTCACCTGTTGATGCCTTTAGAATAAAGTGCACCATCTTTTACGGTGGATCCCATTCCTATGTGATGTCACTGTGATGATCATTTGGGTGACACCCAAGCATGGAAGGGTTGGCACTTGCCATATACCAGCGTTGTGCGGCGATAACAGCTCCTGGAGTTGGAAAAATTGTATGCCGCGAATGCGGTCACCACCCACAGATTTCCACAGACGTGTCTGTCGCACTATGCATTATGACAATCGTATGGAAGAAGTTCTCTCAAATATATGGAGATCTTCATTGAATTCAATTGTTAAAACTTAATTCATCAAATTTGGTCACTTATTTCTAAACTTGTTTTACTTTTAATTCAAATTTTGTTTCATTACAGATTGAGAAATTTCATCACTCCTTGAATTTTTGTTTTTTGTTTTTTGGGGTCGTTTGGCCATGAATTCATCTATTCACCGAAACAAGGAACCAATTATTTCATACTACAACCCTAGCTGTCAAAATAATGTTCCCAATAAGCTAACTTTAGGTGGGTCACCTGTCCTTGCTTTGGACCAATTCTTAATAGGAACAGAAATCTCATTCCATGAAAAGCTTGTCGTCACTATCGTGTGCCAGCTAGCTTTCAAGCATCCATACTGCATGAATTCTATTTCATCAGTCAGGAAAACATAAACAAAAATGAGAAAAAAAAAAGAAAGAAGAAGAAAAGAATAAAAACTCACGTTTAGATTTGTGAATCTTCTAGGGTTTCATGCAAACGATATGCATGGTAACCAAACATCCATATCAAATGATTAAGAGTTCACCAACCTGCTAACCAGAATTGCATGATCTTAACTGCCGTACCAAAAATAACTAAAAAAACCGAACCTGAAAAAAAAAAAACCCAATGGATTTTCATAGATTTTGCAACAGAATCATGCATGCTGAATCTCTGACTAATATTTCACAGAAATACATTTTTCTTGTTGTTCAACAACCCTTTGGTTGCTTCACACAGACAAGGCTGTGTTGATTTATGCAGACAAGAATCTGTAAACTATGAACAGACAGACTCATCATAAATTTTTAATAGATGGAAAATTGAATTATAATTACAATTTATTACTCCATCGATACATTTAAGTTTGAATGCATGGGACTGTTGGCCTGTTTGGGAAAACCAAAAAGGAGAAATTGTTGTTACTTATAAGTTATTACTAAAGAAAGTCAAAACTATCTGCAAGCATTTGAATGGTGGAAAAAGTCAATAAATCAGATGGTGTATGGGTGATCTAACTCATGGATTGGTCCTCCTGGATTAAAATATATTTGAATGAAATCCATTTCTCCTTCTTTTGTCCCCATGCTGTGGATGATCAGTTGCATCCTTATGCATGTGCACACCTTCCAATGCCATTGTGTGTGTGTGTGTGAGAGAGAGAGAGAGAGAGAGAAATAGCAAATTATGGTAAGGCGGTCACCAACAAACCAACCTACTGGGTTTTTGTTGCTAGCCAAGGAAGGAAAAAGGGGTTGCCTGGTGTTGAGGGCATTTGCATAAGTTAAAGGCACTTTTAAAGATGATTCATAACAAAAAATAAATCAAAAATCAAAATCAAAACATAAAAAAAGAAGAAAAAAAAAGTACAGGTTTGAATTAATGCCAACGGTGTGGCTAACCAAATGCTTCTGGTCAACCTTCCCTCTCACTCTTTAATTGTGTCCTATAAATACACACTGCAGCCCCTTCCTCTTCTTCACAAACCCTTCCATTTAAACCCTCCTCTGTCTGTCTCTGCCTTCCTCTGCTTCCTCTCTTTTCCTTTGTCATAACTCATAACATCTTTGAACTATGGTCCTCCCAATGGTACTTATCAAGCTCATGGATTTAGTCTGGTACCAGCTGCTAGCAAATTCATGTCACAGAGCTGCAAGGAAAGTTAGAAACTATGGCTTCCTTTTAGGCAACTCTTCTTCTCCCACCAAGCCATCCCAACAACAACAACAACCCTTTTCATTTCCCAGTGTAACCAAGTGTGTTTTGGAGGGTAGAGATTGTGCCACAATTGCATGTGACATTTTTGGAGCCCTTTTGAAATCCCAATCTGTCTTCCCTTACTTCATGTTGGTTGCCTTTGAAGGTGGCAGCATTGTCAGAGCCTTCCTCTTGCTTCTTTCATGCCCCATTTTGCTGGTTCTGGACTATGAGCTCAAATTAAGGGTCATGATTTTCATCACCTTTTGTGGGCTTAGGAGAAAGGACATGGAGAGTGTTGGCAGGGCTGTTTTGCCCAAGTTTTATCTTGACAACCTCAACCTTCAGGCCTATGAGGTTCTTGCTTCAACAGGGTCCAAGTTTGTGTTTACAAGTGTCCCTAGAGTCATGGTTGAAGGATTTCTCAAGGAGTATTTGGAGGTTGATGATGTTATAGGCACTGAGCTGCAAACTGTTGGGCATTATTTCACTGGCTTCTTATCCAAGTCTGGTTTTCTTGTGAAGCACAGAGCTCTAAAAGAACACTTTGGAGACAAAAAACCAGATATTGGACTTGGAACTTCAAGCCTCCATGATCATCTCTTTATCTCCCTTTGCAAGGTACACATCAGAACTTTCAAACTCTCCCTTAAAATTGTTGCATGTAAAATATCATATAATTCCATTTTGAAAGAATTGTACTGTACGTTGACCATTAAATGCTTGTACTTCATTTTCTTTCTTGATGCATAATCCTACACCTAACACATAACTAATTGGGTATGGTCTTATCAACTTTCTGGTTAGAGTACTTCAAAAGATTTTGCTATACTCATGCTATAAATTAATGACAGGTATTTGGCATCATGTAATTTGCAAGCAAAACAACCCACCAATAATTCCCTTCCTTTAATTCTTTTCTGGTCTGAATTTCCTTCCTTTAATTAAGAAGAGGATTTTAATTTTTTTTCCTTTCAAGGAAAAAAAATTAATGACAGAAATTTGGCATCATGTAATTAAATTAAAGGAATTAGCTAGGTACATGCTATATACATGTTTAAAATAAATAGTTAATTAATTCTGTGTATTGGATTGTAACAGGAAGCCTATGTAGTGAACAAGGAAGACAGCAAGAGTGGTGCAAATTCAATGATGCCAAGGCAAAAATACCCAAAGCCAGTGATATTTCATGATGGAAGGCTAGCATTCTTGCCTACACCATCTGCAACTCTTGCCATGTTCATGTGGCTCCCTCTTGGAATAATCCTAGCCATATTCAGAATCTCTGTAGGCATCTTCCTCCCCTACAAAATTGCCCTCTTTTTGGCCACTTTGACAGGTCTCAACCTATCTGCAAAAGGGTGTGACAATTCAACTTCTTCAAAACCAGATCAAGAAAAAAGAGGGGTTCTCTATGTTTGCACCCACAGGACTCTTTTGGATCCAGTTTTCCTCAGCACATCTCTGTGCAAGCCTTTGACTGCAGTCACATACAGCCTGAGCAAAATGTCTGAGATCATAGCCCCAATTAAGACAGTGAGATTAACAAGAGACCGAAAACAAGATGGGGAAACCATGCAGAAGCTGCTCAGTGAGGGAGACTTGGTGGTGTGCCCTGAAGGAACAACTTGCAGAGAGCCTTATTTGCTGAGGTTCAGCTCACTGTTTGCAGAAATGGCTGATGAGATTGTTCCTGTGGCCATCAACACAAATGTGACCATGTTTTATGGGACAACAGCTAGTGGCCTGAAATGCTTGGACCCAATTTTCTTCTTGATGAACCCTAGGCCTGGATATTATATTGAGGTTCTTGGGAAGCTCCCAAAAGACCTAACTTGCGCAGGAGGTAAGTCCAGCAATGAAGTGGCTAACTATATACAGAGGAAGCTGGCTGATGCTTTGGGATTTGAGTGCACCACCCTCACAAGGAAGGACAAGTACTTGATGCTAGCTGGGAATGAAGGAATTGTTCAAGATAATAAGAGAAAGAAGCCTTAGTTTCCCATCTTTGTTATGAGATTTCCATCTAAGTGATCTTTTTTTTTTTTTCTTCTTCTTCTTCTTAGAATTCATGGACTGATTATATTTAATTTCTTCTTTTGTTAAGGTGGCCAGGAAACCATATACATGCTTTGTTATTATATATGGTAACTTTTTGTTAGATACCAGCAGTGAGATTCTTCTGTTATCACTTTTTACCATTGGCATTGTCGAATGATTGCATATTCTTTTATCTCTTGTTCTGTTCTTACATGTGAATTTAATCAACATGTCTTCATGGTGACCAAAATAGTATTTGTAGATGTGATATAAAGAGGGATTAAAAAAATTCATAAGCGGAGATTGAATTTGAGACTTCTTCTTAATATCGAAAAAGAACATAGTATAAGAAAAATATCACATGACTAAGAGCTAGTTGTTTCAATTCGATTTCTGTTTTACAGATCGAGGTACTTAATTATTCACCTTCTTTTTTGCATAATGTATTGAGAAGTGTGAGCGTGATGATGTTTGTGAAATGTTCTGTGCTTTGCAAATAGCAATGAATGATACTATAAATGCAAAGTCATAAATCTGAGAAGGGGGTCCTCAGAATAATAATCATTTCTCTTGGAGATGGAGATCAAAGAAAGCTAGATGGCACCAACATTGGTCGACGACACAAGACAATAGGACACATATGATTAATTACAAGCTTCTCAAACGTTTCTTTGTCGTTTTTTTTTTTGGTCAATTACATTGATTTTCAATTTATATTTTAGTTGACAAACAGTTGAACTACATTTTGTTGAGAGCTATCTGGTTAATTTAGACATGGAAAAAGAGAGAGAAGAAAATTGGAATTTTGGGGGTTGAGTTTGGGCCAGCAACAAATAGTCCAAGTCTAGGCTGGGTTGAGCTTGAGAGTGTTGCTCTGCCATAGGTTCCTTGGTTGTTCAACTTAAAATTAATCCAACATAATTAATTTAATTTAATACATGCTTTCTATGGGAAACCAAGATAATTAATTCTTGGGTGTTTATATAAATAGACAGCTTAGAGCATTTTCAACTATATGTCAATTTGTCATGTAGATATGAAATGACAAAAATTAAGAGTTAAAATTGCTCCAACCGAGTAGTGAAATTCTATATGGATTTAAAAGCTGGAAGAGATACGTCAAAAATAACATATCAAAATGCTTGATGTCAAATATTATTTTAATATTTTTTCAGTCATGGACCTCACTATTATTTACTCTATTTTAAAATTTTATGGATCCCATTTGCTTTTAAAAATATAATAAAATAATATGATATTTAGCATTTCGGGTGGAATTAAATTTTTTCGTCATTTTCAAATTGCCACATAATCCATTAAATTTGAAAATGACCACATAATCCATTAAATTCAAATTTAACATTCTACATTTGACATATCCGTGGAGATGCTTTTAGCAAGCAATTCTTAGTTGAAAAAGAAACAGAAGAAGCAAGCACTTGGGCCCACTGGCCTAATCATTATGGAGAAGCAATTGATCAGATAATGGAAGATGCAAAAAGTACATATCCATGTGATTCAATCCGCTTTTTTTTTTTTTTTTTTTTTTTTTTTTTTTTTTTTTGTGACAAAAAAAATCAACTAATATTGTCAATGTCCATTATGGAATATGAACCAACAATGTGACAGCTCAACTATAAATTATTGCTACAGCACCAAATACCACTAAATTTAAATCCACCGCCTCTCAAGGAGCTGTTCTTAGAAAAATTATAGGTTCCACACAAATTTTTGCTATGGCATGCCCAATGCATCATCATCCCCCATCCGATCATGCCACTTCTCTCTCATGGCTCCAGTCAGCCGTTGGATGAACCCCTTGCTATGCCCCTCATAATAGTTCAACATTTGTGCCACCACTCGAGGGTCCTTGTCCTTCCACCAAAAATTGTCACACCCCGGCAATTTGGTGCTCATGCCGTGGCTTTTCGTCTCACCAAATAAGCCTTGCTCAGCCACCATTCTTGTGTACTCCACCATGCCATCTATAAGCTCCAACGGGCCCCACCGTCCCAGAGCCATACATGTGGCATGCCACGTAGGATGGCAGTGACCAATGCACCGTGGGCATTGGGCTGGTCATCCATGATTGAAGGGATTTTGTCAAGGACAAAATGGTCATTTTCATTGTTGGGTGAGTGGTGAACGACAACCCCTATGTTGTCGGAAGTTGAGTTCAGGCTGGAAAGCCTCAAAACGACATGGTTTATGCGCTTCTTGGGTTGTGCATGTGCTTCAGGGTAAAGAAGGTGTTCGACGAAATTACTGGTGTCGAGGATAATGCGGGTGGCTTTGTCGTTGGAGACGTAGAAGAGGTGGAAGCGGCGGCCGGCAACAGAGTCTTTGATGTCGTTTATGATGGTTATGTCGAAGCCTTTGGATGCTTCGCGGTTGGCATATATATATAATGCGAGAAGTCCGATGAAGAAGACTGAGAGGAAACGAACGAGGATGTTGATAGTACCAGAATTGTGTGATGCATGATGAACATAATGGTTGTTTGTTGAAGGAGGGATTGTTGGTTTTCCATGGATGAGGGGATTGTTGGTCGTCCATTGTAGAGAGAATATATGAAATGATAGAAAAAAGATGCAAAATGAGTGGTTAGTAGTACTATATGTTTAGCGTCCCCCATCCCAAGCATGTGATCACATTCCTATAATAATTAAAAGTGGACATCCATGTGGAAAATGATTGGCCTTTCACAAATAATATTTACAAAGATATTTTTACAATGGGAGAATAATACGTCTAAAATAATGAAGATTGTACATTACAGTAGGGTTAGTCATAATTAGATATCAAATTCATCACCAATATATCATTCTCGTATTCAAAAACTTAGACTAAGCGTCAATGATATCGATTAGATAGTGCAAACCAGTACCCAAATCCCAACAATCTTTTTCTTTATGTAATTGGTGGTGTAGTATGAATGTAAATTTCTAAATTACTAGTACAATATTTGGCTTCTTTCGGATGTAACGGCCTATTTTTCTTTATACATAAATTATAATTTGACATGTATATAATAAACTTTTATTTCAAACTTTTAATAAGTCAATTTTACACATGTATCAAACTGTGATTAATTAATTTCATTATAAGTTTTTTAAACTAGAAGTTTATTTGAAAGTGGAACCACAAATGGGACCTAGGTGAGGGGCTCAAACAAACCAAGCCCATCCGCTGCTCTACCGATCAAAATTTATCCCATGAATTACAAATAGTCCAACAGCTAATTGGCTAAAATAAAAAAAGTAAAAAAAATTATAGATACATCTACAAAAACGTGGTCGGCAGGATTCGAACCTGCGCGGGCAAAGCCCACATGATTTCTAGTCATGCCCGATAACCACTCCGGCACGACCACTTGATGTTCAACTTTCTCTCTTTCTTTAGTTAAGAAAGGGTCACTCTCACTCTCATCAATAAAACCTTATTGACATATCAATTACAAAATTCATCTCAATTCAAAACTACGGCGGCATATCACAAAGCCACTAGTATATATATAATATACTCCATATAATCCTCTAAATTCTGACCAAAAAAGACAAAAAAAACTATCTTCTAAACACATTCACCAGTAGATTACATGGGGGAAGTGGACTTTAACCTACAAAAGTTTGTATAGGGACTTTATGTTGTGAACAAAATTAAACAGGCCATGATGAATATATTTCTAAGGCTATGTGAGCTTGCAGCTGCTGCAGATGCTGAGGTAGAAGGGCCAGAAGGTTCAGCACCAAAAACAGTTGAGCCACTTGTATTTGTTGTGTTCAAGACTGATGAACTTGTGCTGCAAAACCCAAAATGCATATTTGCAGATAAGAATCTCACTCTCCCTAAACAAGTTTGGTAGCAAACACAAGAAAGCAGAGATGGATGAGAGAGTTACCTGGTAGATGGATATTGACATGTCCCAGTACCTGAAAAACAATGTTGCAAAATAAGAAAATAAATAAAATTTGAAGATAAAAAAAAAAAGGCAGAAGAAATGGTATGTTACTTGGGTCAGTGCTAGTGATCACAGCAGTTCCACCAAAATTGCAGCTATTTGGAACTGGGTTTTTCTGATAGTAGTTATTGAACGCGAAAGAAGCGTGATCCCTGACATTGTTTGGGTTGTAACAGCTTCTACCAGCCTGAATTTCTAAGCAATCTGTGCCACCATAGCCACAAGCATAGTCCAAAGCAACTTGTAGGGCCATTTGGGATGCACTTTGGCTAGCAACACACCAACTTGAACCAGTGGATGATGGTGTTGTAGAAAATGGGGTCATGCTAGGGGTTGCACTGACTGGAGAGGTTGAATCTGGGTCTGAATTTGGGTTCACAATTGGTATTGATGAAGTGGGATTGGTTGGAGTTATTGTAGGAACAGTTGTTATTGGAGTTGTGATGTCCCTTTTGGTGGTAGAAATTGGAGTTTTTGTGAATTGTAGCCTTCTCTTTTCATGGTCTTGTTCTTTCATATTCCCAATATTCTTTCCCTTTTTTGTCACCTTCAAACCTGTACTAGAAATGAAAACTACAGTAAGCTTTATTTTTTTCAACTTTGCACTTTTTGAACATGGAAATAAAATGGTGCCAAATCTGATTAGGGTAGTGGTTCTTTATTTCAAAAAATAACATCAACCCATATAAATGGTTTCAAACTTTCACGAACCAACAAGTTATCATATTTCGCAATGGATTTTGCACATATGGACGACCGAACCTAGTATATTTGAACGATTGATTGGTAAGAGGGAAGCAAAGTGTTCTTTTTGGACTTTAAAGTCAATAGAAAAAACTGAAAAGTTCAGTGACTTTTGTCCAATATATGGTACCCAAATGGGGTCTTACCAAGTTGAAAAACTGCAAATTTCAAAATGTAATCATGTAACTGCTTCAAAGAACTGGAACAATAAAAAGATAACAAAATGTTGAACTAAGTTAGCTGACATCCTGTTCCACAAAGGACCTATGTTCTTGGAAGAAATATAAGGAAAAACTAAGAAGAGGGAAAAGCTAAATTGAACATGAACCATCATTGAAATTTTGAAAATTAAGAACAAGAAAAAAGGAAGAGAGAGAGAGAGAGAGAGAGAGAGAGAGAGAGAGAGAGAGCATCTTTAAAGAAACTATATCTAGAAGAATGGGAAAATGAAATTTTATCCACAAAATAAAATGTATACCTTAAAGAAAGAAAGAAAGAAAGAAAGAAAGAAAGATGAGATGTTTGGATGTGCAACATTGTAAAGCAATAGATTTTTGGATGTAGATTATTAAGAATACAGAGCAAGAACAGCATTTGAAATGACAAAATTCTGAGCAAGAAAAATTACATATACATATTCATCAGAATTTCAATCCAAACTCAGACACCAACAAAAAAAAGAGGAGATTCTCAATGCCCACATAGATTTTTAGTACGCCGAAAGTTGATGGGAAGAGAGAAAATAATAAAAATATATATACTTGTCAAAGGCAGAAAGAAACAAAGAAAAAGAAAAAGAAGCTAATGAGATTATTACAAAATATATTAACAAAAGAAGATGAGAGATGCTGATATAAAATTGAAAAGAAGCAACTCAAAGTTCAAAACAAGACAAAGCAAGTCACCTGAACAGAGGAAATGACCCAATAGGAGGAAGAAGACTAGAATTAAAGGATAAATAAACCTTCCACCCTTCATCACCATCCTCTTTTTCTTCTCTTTGGTGTCTTCTGCTTCTTCTCCTATTCTCTTTGGTGGCTTCTGCTTCTTCTTCTGTTTGACAACTTCTTCTTCTTCTTCTCCTTCTCCAGTCTTGTTCTACCTTTTCTTTGGGTTGAAAGAAAGAAAGAGAAGTAAATAATACTTAAAACTAGAGAAGCTTCAATGATGCTGTTGAAAAGAAGGGGTCTTTGTACCCTTTGTCAATTGTCATGCACTTAAATATATATTACTTATAAAGTATAAGTACACCAGAGAGAGAGAGAGAGAGAGAGAGAGAGAGAGAG